CTGCCGTCCACTCGGACTATACCGCTGAAGAGCGAGAGATGTGCTGGGCTTTGATTTTGGCCTTGCCTAGCATGTTGTTGTCTGCTCCCTCGACCGCACTGTCTACGATTGACCTGCGCAATATGTTTCACGATCGTCTCCGTTGGCTTGTGACGGGGCAACTAGGTCGGGTCGTGGACGCCATGCGCAAGGCAGTCGCACGCAAGCAGAGCCGTCGAGGACAGCTGAACGCCGGCGCGGGCGCCCACCCGAACGACGCAGTCGACCAGAGCCTCAGGTCACTCGTCCGCGACCCGGACCTGGCGGACGAAGCCTGGGCAAACCACGTCACGAACCGTCTGAACCGAGGTCAGATTGCCAAAGCATTTGATGCCGACAAGGCTCGTGCCGTGATTGGTAATTCTGAGGTTCAGGCCGTGCGCGACCTCTTGGTACCGCCCGGGCTGACCCCGTACATTGCTTCGACACCCGCCTCCACGTCTACACTGGCACCAGCCACGGCTGCGAGCTCCCCAACCGTGTCCTTCACCAAAGGTGAGCTCCCCAAGGCGTTGGCGGCCACCAAGGGTGTCACCGACCCCTATGGTTGGTCTGGTGAGCTTCTTGCCTCCATCTACCGCATCAAGGAGCACTTCAGTCAAGTCTTGGGCCCACGCCAGGGTTCTACCAGCGACCCGACTGCTCCTTCTGAGGGAGGCGCGCCTCAGGGCCCCACCACCGCCACTGGAGGTCCTCAGGTTGCCTTGAACAAGATCTTTCACCACATTGCCAACAACACCGTGCCCGAGTCGATTCGACATGCCCTTTGCTCCATCAACTACACTATCCTGGAGAAGGCCAATGGCAAGTTTCGACCCGTGGGCACGGATTCCATCTTCAACAAGGTTGTCAACCGCGCTCTGCTCGAGCAACAGCAGCCCCATATTGCCCACTTGCTACAGGCCAGTCCAGAGTTGGCCGTCGGAGTCAAGGACGGCATTTCAGCAGCGGTTGGCATGGCCTTTGGTGAGCTCCAAGCCTGTGAGTCTACCCCGGGCTGGACCATGCTCTCCCTCGATTTCAAGAGTGCCTTCAACTACACCGACCGAGCACGGCTACACGAGATTGTGGCCGACAAGGTTCCTGGCCTCTTGCGCGCCTTTGAACGACACTATGCTCGACCCACTACCCACTGCATTGTCGACAAGTTCTCAAGGTGATTGACACTGATGTTGGCCAAGGCATTGTGCAGGGCAACGAGCTATCGCCCCTCTTCTTTGCCC